CAGGTTGGGACAGGGCCACTCCTCATCTTGGGGGTGATCACCCCAACCACAGCACTCACAGATTGCGTTTCTCAGCAGAGACCCCTCCAAAGCCAGACAGCAGTCACCAGGAGCACCTGGTTCAAGTCACAGCAGGGACAGCTTTCATCCAGCCACAGGGAAGCTGTCCCTCACGTTGACTGGGACGTCGACAACCCCACATCATTTGCACAGGAAGAAGAATCTCTTACGTAGAAAGTTGAAACAGCCTGGGATCTGCTTGTACTTCCCCTTGGTGGACACGATGTCTGACACCTGGAAACACAAGGTGCACTGCATGCTCAGTATCACCACCCTTTACAGCCTGCCTGCCTACCCTGACACATGGCACCTCTGATTATTGCCCTCACTGCTGTAACACTACACAAATAAGGCTAAGAAAAAACACATTTACCCGGAGCAGCATGGTTAGCAGGTCTTCAGAACGGGCATAATGTTCCAGCACACTGTCCAGGGTTTCCACATACCACGAGCCACTCACCTTGTCCCTCCAGGACACAAAACCTGCAGAGAAAGGAGAAAAAACACTCTTGCAGTCAGTCTTGCTGTCTCTTCATCTCCCTGTGTACCACCTCCAACGGGTGGCTGCCCATAACTTCAGTAGCAAACACTGACTATTGGGGACACTATGCTGTGGCACAGCAGCTTGCTGGTGGCTTTCTCCAAAAGCCAGTGCCAGAATTAGGATGTCTCGACTACTGGCCAAGCGCCCTCAGCACCGACTGCTTCTGCAAATCATTTGCACTTATCTCACAGAATCACAGAATGCCCAGGGTTGGAAGGGACCTCAAGGATCAGGAATCTCCAACCCCCTGCCACAGGTAGGGCCACCAACCTCCCCCACTTAATACCAGACCAGGCTGCCCAGGAAAAGCAGCTCACCTGGAAAGGTTGAGTAGGACACCAAGATGTCACCAGGAGTGGGCAAACTGGCAACGGCGTCCGGCTCGTCCAAACTCCCCGATGGAGCCTGGAAAGGAATCGCATCCGACTCTACGCAACCTCGGCAAGTTTCATCTTGGGGTGATTCACAGCCCACCTCAAATCCATGGTCCTTTTCTTCTGCAAAAAATGGCAGCAACAACAGCTCTCGCTCACATCTGACACGCTCTGCACCCATACATCCTCTATTAACAACTGCAGCGGAAAAAATCCTCCAACAAAACCATGCTTTTCTGCTCTCTGACAGTGCTGCGAGAGTCACAGCCATCAGGCTACCCACTAACCAAGCCCTTCCAACCAACCTCCCAACGCTCCTTCCAACCCAAGCCATTCTACAGTTCTACCCTTGCTGCTAAACACAGAGAACAGGAGGAATGCGCCTGGATGTGGGGCAAGGGATGCCACTACTGCCCTCCTGCCATCTCACAGCCCCCACTCTGCACAGTCAAACCACCCCGCTGCACGACAAAACCACCAGTGCTGCCCTCCTGCAACATGCTCCTGACATTCAACCCATCTTAGCAGCAGAAATACATGGGTGGGAAGGCTAGGAAACACCTGGATAAAAGGGCAACAGACATGAAAGGAAGACGACGACAAAGCCCAACTGTGTCTCACCAGCCTGCTCACACTTAACAGCTTATTGCCAACACACCTCCTCCACACGCCTGGATGAAGAAGAGTTTGGGTTTTCCTCTCAAACTTGGGCACTGGGACCCATTGAAATAGTTCACAATCTTTTCAATTGGAAGGGTTTTGCTGTCACAGCACTGCTTTCACATGCAGCAGCAGCTCAGGAGCTCTGAGGGACTTCTTTAGTCCAGGTAGAAGTTTAAGCCACGCTAAGACCTTTTTTTGGACATTCTGTGCCTTGCATCGTGAGGGTGAACACTTAAATATCTTCAGCCTTGCTCGGCCTTTTCAATTCTTAAAGCACAAGCTCCTTGCAAACAGAATCTCTGAGATGACTGGCAGCAAAGAACCCCAACACAACCACAAATACACTGGAAAAGAAGAAATATCTACAATACTAACCAGTCTGTGGTCACCCCTGTCAACAGCTGAACCTACAACACAAAACAGAGAAATGGGATTTAGCTCTTAGCGCTCAACAGTGAGATGTTAAACCTGTTCTTCAAAGAATTAACACCAACTTTCTCCTGTCATCTGTCACACAGGGGTGACAGACACCCCTTCCCACACCACCACACACCACAAGCAGCGTTTGGCTCTCATCTCTCAAACCACAAAGAGGAAGAGTGGCAGCAGTTAGAGCCTGGACCTCAAGCACATGCTCATCCCCCACCTGGGGCACCATACACCATTTAGTTGGGGTCACCTCCCACCCAGCACAAATCTCAGCTGCTCTGCAATTCACACAGACACCCAGCACGGTGTGTCTCAAGCAAGGAAGTGACCAACAAGCTCTACAAGCTGTCAGAGCTCCCTCAGGGCTCCAGGACAATCCTTACCATGGGCTGCTGCTGGAGACATCCCAAATCGCTGACTCTCACCTTGGACTGAGATGGAGAAGCGTTCCGCAGTGCTCACACCTGTCATGGCATGGCAAAATCATCTCTCTCCTTCTGCCCCTTCCAATTGCACATTAGAATTCAACTGCTCTGGTTCCCCTTAAGGACCACAGCTTGCAGCTACACCACTGCAAGGGCAGAACAAAACCATCTCTGTTTTTCTCTTATCCAACTTCAGTGAGGTTTCTCATGACAGCTGTATGAGCTGCATCAACAGATAAAGGGCAAAACAGGAGTAGCAAAGACACAGTGAAGCCCGTTTTCAGCACAGTAGTACAAAGGCTGCATGTGAAAAGCAGAAGAAAAAATAGACACCCATAAAGGCCACCGAGGGGAGAGAAGCTTTATTTTTTGTCTGTCTGTCTTCTAAGCACCCCAAGGGACGGCGTCTAACCTGCTGTCCCTGCAGCAGTGGTTGTGCCGATGCTGTGATGTCCCACAAAGGTGTTGTCTCAACAGCTGCTTCCATTCTGTCCTATGGATGTGTTCTTTGCCGTGTTGTTTTCTTTCTTTTTTTTCTTTTTCTTTTTAAATCCCAAATAAATATTCTATTCCCTAAGTGTTGTGCTTATCCATGCCCAGGGTTGGGTGTCAGTGTGGGACCCCCACTTCCCCGCGTGGCTGGGGTCACGGTCAGGGCCACATCTGTGGGGTTGTACATGGGACAGGTGTATCCATTCCCAGGTGGGTCCCGATAAGACATAGCACAAGGTGGGCACACAGGCTGTGGGATTTGGCCACCTGTTAGCAGGCTGAAGGCCACGTTCCCAACGGCTGGAGGTGGCTCAGCAAACATATACAAGACGGTGGGCTCCTTGCTTCTGCCACACTGGAAGCCTACAACCATGCTGGGGGCTGTGTGTCTCGCCGTCCTGCTGGGCTACGGTGGGTGAGGGCATGAGGAGGGGGGAGTCTGTGGGGCTGGTGGCCGTGCCCATGCTGATGTCCCCATGCTTGGTGTCACAAAGCCTATGGATGCGGGCAGCCGGCAGTGCAACCGGTGTTAGGCTATCGTGTGGTGGGCGGTGAGGAAGCCACTCCTCACAGCTGGCCGTGGCAGGTAAGGGGGACTGTGTGCCACCTGGGCTCCATCTCCACTGTTGGTCACACGGGGATGGGTGGCCACCACCTGTCCTGACTCCGTGCCGCCGTCCAGGTCTCACTGCAGTACAAATACTATGGTGGCTGGAGCCACACCTGTGGAGGAATCCTCATTTCTCCCTGCTGGGTGCTGACAGCTGCACACTGTTACAGGTAGGGTTGGGGGGCATCCATGGGGGACAGAAACCCCCACGTCTGCCCTCATGCTGATGGCCATCTGCAGCAAGAGCCTGACGTACCGCGTGGCGCTGGGAAAGCACAACCTGTCAGAGGAAGAAGACGGCGCGGTGGTGGCTGACGTGGAGGACTTCATTGTGCACGAGAAGTGGAACGCCTTCCTCATCACGTAGGGCAGCAAAGGGGGGAGGGAGGGGTGTGCCAACCCAAGGCTGGGTGTGAGGATGGGTCTGGCAGTGGGCTGTTGTGGGGTTGGCAGGGTCTGGTTGGAGGCTCTCTAAGGGGTTTGGTTGGTGGTGTTCGACAGGGTTTGATTGGTGGTTCTCTACAGGGTTTGGTTGGAGGCACTCGAAGGGGTTTGGTTGGTGGTGTTCTACAGAATCTGTTAAGTGACATTCTACAGGGTTTGGTTGGAGGCATTCTATTCAGTTTGGTTGATGGTTCTCTATGGGGTTTGGTTGGCGATCCTCTACAAGGCTTGTTTGGTGGCTCTCTATAGGGTTTGGTTGGCTGTGTTATATGGGGTTTTGTCATTGCAGCAACGACATTGCATTGATCAAGTTGACAGAGCCAGTGGAAGAGAGCGACACCATCCAGGCTGTCAGCCTGCCACCCAGTGGGCTGGAACTGGAGAACGACTACCCCTGCGTGGTCACTGGGTGGGGAACCCTCCGAAGTAAGAGGTTTGACCACAGAGGGAACAGAATGGGGGCAGCATTGGACATGGGTGCAACTTGAGGCTGTCATTGCAGCTAACGGGCAGCTGGCGGAGGTCTTGCAGCAGGCCGTGCTGCCTGTCGTGGACTACGCAACGTGCTCACAGAGAACCTGGTGGGGCAGCCAGGTGACGACTTCCATGTTGTGTGCTGGTGGTGACGGCCAGGTCGGGGCATGCAACGTGAGTGAGGGGGCTGCCGGCCATCCCCAATGGCTGCGGTGAGGTTGGAAGAATGGAGATGGGGAGCTGTGGGGTGTATGAGTGTGACACGGCGCCCTGCCTGGGTAGGGGGATTCGGGTGGCCCACTGAACTGCCAACGGAACGACGTGTGGGAGGTGCACGGCATCGTCAGCTTCGGCTCTGCCTGGGGCTGCAACGTCGCCAAGAAACCAACAGTCTTCACAAGAGTGTCCGCCTACATCGACTGGATCAACGAGGTGAGAGCAGAGCTCTTGGTGCGTGTTCTCTCAGTCCTTCTCCACGTGAAGGCCTGACCACGGTCTCATCCTTTTGTCTTTGGCAGAAAATCGGTGAGAACTGAGGATGCGCAGAGCAGATCACGTATGGTGGTGTGCAATAAAGGGAAACAACCGGCCTCGTGTGTCCCTGTGGTCATTTGAGGGGTGTCAGGGCAGCACGTGGAGGGAGAGGAGCCCCCAGGGGGCTGAGTCTACCCCTCTGCACTCTGTATTTCTTTAATCTTTCCTGCATTGGAAAGATTCTTTACTTTACAGTCTGCCAGCAATGTGGGGTGCAATTAGGGGGAAGGACAGGCATTTGTGCTATTGACAAGACTGACAGAAACATTTACTACTCTGACTATTAGAAAAACAGCAGTTGCATAAACATCGTTTGCTGACTAACTCACAAATAACACCTTCCAAGGGGAAACAGCTGGCAGCCAAAGTGCACAATAGCTGTATAGATTGTAAAACCTGGGATGTTCTTCCCAGTTTTACATCAAGATCAAAAAGTCCAACCCCAACCCCTCCCCTCTTCCTCAACCCCATCCCTCAGGGACACATCTACAGCCACTAAACATTAAAACACTTTCTGGTTTGATTGCCCAAAGATGGTTTTGGGGTGTAATCTGTACTCCTAGGTACTGGGGACTGTGTGCATCAAGGTCATGACGACAACGCAACTGAGCTTTCTAGAGCTAACGCTCTAGGACACAAGAGAGAACAGAAGACAGAGCACAAAGCAAAAGTTTCTGGGTTTGTTTTTTTTCCTCTTGGCTTTTGTTTCGCTCAAACAGAAAAATCCCTTGTTGCAAAAATCATGTATTTCCATTGACTCCAGCCATTGGTTCCATTCACTCCTCCAATCCACTGCAGTCGCACCAGGAAGGAGAGCACAGCCACAGCACAGCAGGAGGCCCTCACTCCACAGTGCGATCACTGGGCTGGCACACTCTGGGGATTCCAACACACATCCCTTCCCCCTTCCCACCACTGGCATAGAATCACAGGGGTTGCAAGGTACCTTTGGAGAGCATCAAGCCCAACACCCCTGCTACGGCATCTTCCCTACAACAGATTGTCCCTGCAGGTTGGGACAGGGCCACTCCTCATCTTGGGGGTGATCACCCCAACCACAGCACTCACAGATTGCGTTTCTCAGCAGAGACCCCTCCAAAGCCAGACAGCAGTCACCAGGAGCACCTGGTTCAAGTCACAGCAGGGACAGCTTTCATCCAGCCACAGGGAAGCTGTCCCTCACGTTGACTGGGACGTCGACAACCCCACATCATTTGCACAGGAAGAAGAATCTCTTACGTAGAAAGTTGAAACAGCCTGGGATCTGCTTGTACTTCCCCTTGGTGGACACGATGTCTGACACCTGGAAACACAAGGTGCACTGCATGCTCAGTATCACCACCCTTTACAGCCTGCCTGCCTACCCTGACACATGGCACCTCTGATTATTGCCCTCACTGCTGTAACACTACACAAATAAGGCTAAGAAAAAACACATTTACCCGGAGCAGCATGGTTAGCAGGTCTTCAGAACGGGCATAATGTTCCAGCACACTGTCCAGGGTTTCCACATACCACGAGCCACTCACCTTGTCCCTCCAGGACACAAAACCTGCAGAGAAAGGAGAAAAAACACTCTTGCAGTCAGTCTTGCTGTCTCTTCATCTCCCTGTGTACCACCTCCAACGGGTGGCTGCCCATAACTTCAGTAGCAAACACTGACTATTGGGGACACTATGCTGTGGCACAGCAGCTTGCTGGTGGCTTTCTCCAAAAGCCAGTGCCAGAATTAGGATGTCTCGACTACTGGCCAAGCGCCCTCAGCACCGACTGCTTCTGCAAATCATTTGCACTTATCTCACAGAATCACAGAATGCCCAGGGTTGGAAGGGACCTCAAGGATCAGGAATCTCCAACCCCCTGCCACAGGTAGGGCCACCAACCTCCCCCACTTAATACCAGACCAGGCTGCCCAGGAAAAGCAGCTCACCTGGAAAGGTTGAGTAGGACACCAAGATGTCACCAGGAGTGGGCAAACTGGCAACGGCGTCCGGCTCGTCCAAACTCCCCGATGGAGCCTGGAAAGGAATCGCATCCGACTCTACGCAACCTCGGCAAGTTTCATCTTGGGGTGATTCACAGCCCACCTCAAATCCA